TATATATATATATATATTTATTTAAAAGGTGAAATCGATATTTGGTCCAGTGGGCACCAAATATTGATTCCCCCAAAGGGTTAAAAACTCTGGTGTGCTTGCTTCTGATTTCAAGAGCCCGCACCATGAGATTTGAACCCCCGACCCGAGGACCTTACGTCAGAGACCGCACCAATGAGTCAGGTCACACACACACACACACACACACATATAAATATATGTATATATATATATCTATATTTATATAAAAGATATATATTTATTTTTTTGAGTCTTATAGGAGATTTGTTGGATCAGTTTATGCTTTTGACGAATTCTACACTTCAGGGCATACTTATTAGCTTTTGCTCCAACCTTGATCAATATTAACCTTGTTTCATTAGTCTGCCAGCTAAGATCTTTATCCATTCTCACATTCATGGAATCATTTTTATGCCTAAAATATATCACCCGTCATTCTTTAGCCAAAATATTAATGCAAAACTTTATTTATCTTCCATTCTATATCCAAAAAGCGACAATAATTAGTAGGCTAAGATCTTTAGCCTTCAAAAGGTGACAATAATTAGTAGGGGTGTCAAAAGTTTACTTGACACCAACTCAACTCGAAAAAATTAGGTTTGGGATGGTCCAAATAATTTTCCGGTCTGATTCAAGTCAGGAGTCCTAACATGTTGAAGTTTTCGTATAGTGTTCAAGTTCATCCTCCAACCTTAAATTGACCAACAGCTGACAAGCTAATTCGAAATTAACTTGATACTGACCCACCAACCCAAAATTGACTCGAAATTTACTTTAAATCGATCTAAATTTTGCATTAATAGTTGTTATGCCTTGTCAAACAGTTTAGATTCGGTTAACCGGTTGAAGGTAGGTTAGGTTCAGATTGGATTTTTTAACCCGTTTAAATTTTTGAGCGCGGCCAATTTTTAGCCAGGCCTTAACCCGACTCGTGTACTTAGTTTGACACCTCTAATAATTAGTGTCATGATAATGATGGTTATGATGCAACAATAACTTCTTAGCATTCTACTTTTTGGAGGTGGCTTGCATCTTTAATGGCCATTTCTGGTATTTTACGTTCTCCTTTTCCTATATTTCCTTATTAAAAAAATATATGCTCAAGCACATAGTGAACTTAGCAATGGTATGCTTGGCGTCCTTGGGCAATAATGACCTCATAACTACGGGAGTAAGAGTGCATAACTCTAGGATTGTAAGACCGTATGACTCGGTTATGCTCATTTATTTATATAATTTTAATAAATTCAAACAAAATTTAAGTAGCTCAACATATGACAGATATATCTATATTGTTTTTCGTCTAACATTTAGCTTTGTAAAAATATTTATTTAGTTTTAGTTTAGCTTTGTGTTGAATGGCTTGGGTATCAACTCTCCTACGCCATGCATGCATAAAAATTATGCATGATACTGGATATATTAGTATGAAGAAAGTATATTGTGAGCAAATAGCTAGATGATTTGATTGAAAAAATGTTTTATGTTTTATTACTTTCTGACTTTAGAAAAATGGTAGAAATAATATTAATAAAAAAATAATGTCAATATTGGTGTGAAGTTATGAGCACTTTTATTTTTATAAGTAATGTTGTATGTTTAAATGATCACTTGTAGTTAGTGAATCTGTATTACTGTTTGAAATTAATAAATAAATAAATAGACATTTAAGTATTATTTTAAAACTCAATCCATATTAAAATTCAGTTGTAGTACTTTACTGAGAAAAAGAAAGAGCTTGATTAGTATAAAACACTTAGTTGCACTCAGATCTATAAAAGATCTTGTACTAAATCTACCAAATACTCAGCAGATCATTTACTTTTTTATAGAACTCATTTCTGCTGATAAACATATACATGTTCTAAATAAAACAAGAGTAATATGCTGATATGTTTCTTAATATTTGTCCTAGGCTTGGAGCTGATATAATTTATGATCCAAAGTGCGTGCCTCATCTAATTGAAGTGCTTCGCATGCTTTTGAAGAGCAAGAGAACTTTCATTCTTCCTGAAGAGAAAGAAGCTTCAGTAGCTTATCTTGCTACTGTTATCCGAAACAAAGAGACGTTCAATTATTTCCTCCGGGCAGCTGAGGAAGCTCACCTCTCTGTTATGGACATCACTCAAGACTGGCAGCCATTGAATCTGCTTCCTTACATGCTTTCTTACGACCGTACTAGCGTGTGTTTATACAGAATTTCATAATTTTCTTCTGATCAAGTTTTCAGATTTTATCACCAGAATTAATTTGCAGCATTTTTATTTATTAAGGATGAAATATTGCTTCAAAATATGTAGAAATTTCTTATGAAGCTATGATAGTTATTTGAAGTCTTAAGAAATTATTAAGAATTTCATGATATATATGGTTCCCTTTATCTTTGGAATAAATGTCTGTAAATGATATAGATGACATTTTGTTAGATGAATATTTTGGATTGAAAAAAGTCATGAGATTTTGCTTATTTAAACTAGTTTTGATTTGTGATGGGAAGAATTATTCCTTGATATTATAATGTAAAAACTTTGTTCAGTATGAAATCAAAACTTTGTTGCACTATTTTCATCTGAAGCAGATCCATGCAACATCAAGCAAATAATGCAGAGCATAATAAGCAACAAGAATTAAAGCATCATTATTATATTATTAAGCAGAATTACAAAATAACAACAATACCAACTTCACCACCAAAGACATTTGAAACCGCAGAAATATGTTTCATGTGCATAACGCATCCAATGAATTAAACATTAAGCAAACTTCATAAGCTGCCTGCCGATCAACCACTGTTGGCAGCAATAATTTTATCTATGATATCAGTAGTTGTGTTAAGGGATTGTGCCAAAATCCAATTTTCGATACCGCTGCCAAAAAGTGCCTTGGGCAGGGAAACAGTTCCAGGATTAGCGCTGCCGAAAGCAGAAATGGCAACAGCAGGATATCTGGACTCCACGTTAACCTGGAAGTGAACAAGTCCCTTTGGGAAAACAAAAGAATCACCTTTGAATAAAAACTGAGAATAGAGCGTGTTGTTAGAATCAATCAAGCCCACACTGAGTGTTCCCTGTACAACAACCAAGAGCTCGGCAGAGCGAGTGTGGGTGTGCGGTGGATTCAGGCCCCTCGGCGCAAATTGGAGCACGGTGAGAGACACACTCTGTCCATCAAGGGCTGGAAATTCCACTTTGCTTGCCTTTGTTGCCTTGAAGGAACCTTCCTTTGGTCCACCCGAAAGGGCTTCTCCGAACCCTCTATAAGTGAAGAAATCAGCATTTACTGGGGTTTCTGCAGGAACAATGAAGTCGGAGGTGATATCTGGATCAGCGGCTTCAGCTGAGAAGATGAGGGCTACTGCAGCTGCGGCAAGCAGAAGGTAAGTCTTGGAAGACATGGCTTGATTAATCTGTCTGACTGCTTAACAGAAGAGGGAGGTCGGGGTTTGTTTATATGTGGGGTTGGATGGAAGGAAGCTTAAGTGAATAAAATATATAAAATGAATTTGATGGATCATGGCCAAGTATTGAGTAATTTTTTATTGCTGCAGGCTGCTGGCCTGCATGGAAGTCATTATCAACCTTGTTTCTTCTGTGAGCTATTATCTATGTGGAGTTTTCGTTATGAGAATATGATTAAAAAAGAAAAAAATAACTCTAGCTTTGATTTGTTAAATTGTTGAAGAAGTTGGTAAAGCGTACACTTTGTCAAATTTTATATTTTTGGTCAATTTGTTTGAATGAAGCCAAATTTAGTAAGGAGGAGGATGGAGCAAACTCTGTCAAATTCCCTTTAATTTTCTGTTTATATCAATGGATATTGTCAACTTGCAAATTAGGTTAACAGTCATAAGAGAAAACCAAGAAGAAGGTAAGTTAACATTAATTGTCCTCTGTACATATCATATTCCATATGTGCCCCAAACCAACACTATCTAAATTGCAAGAATTGGTCAAATGAGACTTAACGTATACCCTGCCTCAATTACTGGATTGCCTACATATATATATATATATATAGATATAGATATATTATAATAATAAGGGCATTGCAATAGGCACAAGGTCAACTCAGACTCAAAATTAATAATTTAATTTTTATTTCTTTCTCATAGATTCATATTGAGGAATTAATGTATTAAACTTGTGATGTCAACACAATAAAATTAATATTTTGACGATAATAATAATAGGACTTAATTTTTGGAAAATAATTTTAAATATTAAAACTAAATAAAACAATGTGTGGGATGGTTAGAATATGTGTTTTTACATGCCATGTCTGGGTCAAAATCAATTGACGCGTACAATGAGTTTACTTCGAATTTATCGCTTTTTTTTTTATTTATTTATTAAGCTGTCTTTTAAATGCTGGCAATGCTTGTACACACAAATTACATTCTTTTAAAAATCTTCATATGAATAAAAATACCAAATCATTAAGGCTCCAGAATGGTACGAATCTTAATGCTTTTGTCTATTTTGCCAGTTATTTGTTGATAGTTTGACGTAAATAGAAATACTATCAATCAATCCATTTCATGTAATTAAATTTGTGAAAGTGAAAGAGAGACCCATAAGTAGAGGTGTAAACAAGTCGAGTGGATCTCAAGCCACCCTTGTCTTGAGCTCGATAAATTTTATCGAGTTCGAGCTTAAGTTATGAGTTCGAGCCGACTCACGTACTGTCAGCTTGTTTATTATAAAAGAGACAGAATGATATTAATATAAACTAATTTTATGATATGATGACAAAAAGAATGAACAATTAAGAGAAATAATAAGAAATCATCTAATATATAATACAAAATATTATTTTTAAAACAGTTTTAATACCTTTAAGATAAAAGTGTTAAAATTTAATATATGTTGAGTATATTTTATCTAATAATTTTGAGGTCTTTACATATGAAGTTCCCCAAATTATATTTATTGCATATAAACATCCCAAAAAATAAAATAAATATCACACAACCTTACTGTCTCTTATCATACTCTCCAAAGGCTTATCCTGACAAAATATATACAGAGCAAGTAAAACTAGAGATCTGAGAATTGGGAGCAAAAGCATTAGCTAAAGCTGTAGAATGTTATATACTCAATACAGAAAATGCACACATAGATTGGTTTTCAAAATAAGGATAATTCCACATAAGATAGTTCAGAGTTTCATAAAACATCTTAAAAGCATATAGATTTCATAGAATAATTATAAGGAGAGGCAATTTGGAAATAGGTGGGACTAAGCCTCATGTTCAGCACTCTTCACTACTGTTACTGGGCAGCTGCCATTATTTACAACAAAGTTACTCACACTGCCCATGAAAACTCTGCAAAGAAATAGAGAAAAAAAAGAGTAAAAGAAGTTCAATACAGAAGATTGAAAAAGCCAATTATTTGAAAAAGTTGTGTCACAATAAAATCATCTGATATAAAGTCCTATAGCTGCTATTTTGCTATCTTTTAAATCTCATAAGATCATAGACTCAAATGTCGCCTACACTATAAGAAATCATCCTCTGGATTTTGGGGTGGCGTGAATTTTGATGTACTTGCATATCTAACAGCCCTAAGCTTCCATATATACTTGCATAGCACTCAGATCATTAATATCACATAAAAAATATAACTATTACTAACATTTTAGAAGCGAAATAAAAGCTTTTCATGTATAGGTCATAAATGTAAATATCAAACCTTAGGAGTTGAGACATGTAAATACATAGGAATTGTGGAATGCATGCAAATCTCTCTCTCTAAAATAGTGCTATTCAATAACTAAAAAAGGCATCCGAGGTTATGGATTTAGTCACAATTTCTGACATTAAAATCCAATAGCGGAAAGGTGCCAAGGCTATCTATAGCCCACAACACAGCGCATCAAGCGAGGAACTAGGATCGAGGAGTTTACAAAACTCAAGGAATGGCATCGAGTTAGGGGCTAATGGCCCCATATAAACTAGCGACAATAAATAATGTTTGATTATATTTTCTCTGGTGAAAATTTGATGGGAATGAAGAAGCAACAAGGCTCTTCTTATAAAGAGATTGACATAGTAGGAGACTAGGGTTTAGGGTTTAGTTTGCTTTAAGGGAGTGAAGTAGGCAGAAGCTTCTTGTAGAAGAGAGAGAGAGAGAGAGAGAGAGAGAGAGAGTGAGAGCTTTGCTAGCCAATCATTGTAGTATTTCAAAACTTAGTATAGTAGCATCCACTATTTATAGTATTTATTTTTTAACTCAGTAAGTAGAAAAGCAAAAATAATTGAAGTACAATCAAAAGACATAATGAAGGATCTTTCACTAATGAAAAGAATTAATCAAAAAAATCCTCAAAGTTAATCTTTGTTTATATAATTACTATTGAATAATACCATTTTAAGGAGCATTTAGTATGGAAATCTAATGATGTTAGATACTAATGATGACACCGTTTGTAAAGATGCACCTTGCATTATCTTCCCCTAAATTAGAAATCTCCTATAGAGAGTGTTCAACAAGACACCCAAACAATGTAGGAATTATGTGCTTGCCTAAATTGGCTTGTTCTACAAAATTTGGGAATAACTCATGAAACGAAGCACATGAAACATCACATCCACACAATATTAACAAGAGAAGTACACCATACCGCTTAATTTTGCCGAGTCCTCTATTCCCAATGATGAGAGAGCTCAAAGGAATGTTATCAATGGCTTCACATATCTTCTCACGGGCATCTCCCCAATAAATCTTCATGACAACTACAGCCTACATCATTGACAGTACATTCAACTACTCATAAGTGAAACGTGAAAGAAAAAAGAGAACTTTATATCACCTGTTTCTGCCTAGCAACTGTGTTGAGAATGTCCAGAGACTCAGCATCAGCCTTAACCCCATACTTCTTCATAACGTTAGGATCAGATATCTCAGATAAAGGGATTAATGCTGCAAAAATACGAAAAGCATCAGCATCAAAAAAAAGTTTGAAATATAAGATAATATATATTAAATAGTCCCCAATGAGAACTATTTTAGCTCCCAATGAAAAAGTATGGAGACTAATTTAGCAATTTTATAAATTGCGACTAAAATGGCCCCACATATAAATAGTCAGAGGACTATTTTGACATTTCACTCAAATATATCATCATTGTTGAAGTGGCAGCAGAAAAACTATGTTAAAGGTGGAAACCATTGGCATGGTGAATGGCTCGCATCTTTCTAGCTGACGCACTAAGAACTGCATAGCATTTCTAAATAAATAAACTGCTAGATACTGATAAAATGCATACATATATTTGATATCTAAGTCACGTAATTAGAATATCCAGTTGAATTTAATAAGTAGAATAGTCACTCGCACGTAGCTATGGCTTTTTTAACTAAAAGGAAGTTCTATGGCGATTAATTAAGGGTCTGTTCTGGATGGCTAAAATTATCTGTAAAACTAGTAGTGGGATTATTGTAAGAAAATCAAAGTTTGGGTTTTATAGGTTTTTTTCTCTCATAAAAAAAATGAGCAGCTTCTTTCCCATACCTATTATATTCTAAAAGATTTAGTAATGAAAAGCTCCAAATCACAAACATTTCTAGAAAAAAATAAGAAATGAGAGCTAAATAGGAATGTGTTAGCAAATTTGTAGAGAAAGGTTAGGAAAAAATGTCCCAAATTCACTAAATGCATGGATGCATGAAGTAAGACCCATGAAAACATCTCATACAAGCCAAAAAGTAATGATGCGCAAAAGAAGGATTTCTTAATTAAAATTTTACCAATACCTTGGGACATTAACATGAGGAATCCCGTGCATTCAAAATGAACTAAATCAGATTTTCTATTGGCATAAGGCATTGTCATATAAGCTATAAGAAACATTAAGGCCATTTGGGATCTTTTTTATCTTACTTTTCTACTTAAAAATGTGTTTGTTTAGAGTATGTTATATATTTTTATATTTTATTTTTAAAAATAAATCAACTCATTTTCAAAAATACTCCAGAAACTTTGAAATATTTAGCATATTTTTAAAAAACTAAAATATATTTTAACATACTAAGCATATTTTGTTTCAGATCAAAACACAAATGAAATAAAATAAAAATAAAAAATAAAAATTAGAAAACAAAAGGGATCCCTTGTGGCCCTAAATTAAAAGCTAGAATTCTCATCTCACACTTCATTCCTGTTTAGAGCTGGAATTCTCTTCTAAATCTTTTATCATCTCCTCTTCTACTTACTCCTTTATCCCAACTATTTCTCGACTTGTTCTTGAATCATTTTTTTATCTTCACATGAAGTTTCGAACCATCCATGTTTAGAACAAGACCCCCACAGCAATTTTCCTTGATCATAAATTACTCCGCAATCAACGCACAATTTTCCTCATCAACAGGCCAGTGCTTTGATTTATTTGTGTTTCAAACTTTAAGCTATTTGCACTACGGCTTGAACAAGAAACTTTGTTAAGAAAATTCACCAAAGCAAAATTAAGTTTGCATGCTGTGAACCATAAGCTTCATTATTTTATTATTGATGCTTATTCAATAAAGTATAAGCAAACAACTAACAAAAAAATAACATAACTGTAAAATATTCGATTCAATATCAAATACAAAAATATATACCAACAAGACCTAAAACAGTTAAGCAAAGTAAATGACCTGACCACTGTTTGAACAAGACTTGCATAGTTCACTGCTTATTTTTAAAAAGCATACAAAACTTCAGTGTATACATGTTTGAATGTTTTATTATATATGGTCAATTTTTATGAAGAATCCAAATTAATTTCAAATGAACCCATCATTAAATTGTAGCAATTTTATTTAAATTTGAGTCCATTAAAATATAAATTATTATCCTGTCAGCTTTACGCTAAGCACGTAATTATTAAACCTAGTAGAATTTAATTCAATCTCTTTCTATCTCTCAACAAATTGCAAGTGCTCACGCGTGAATTTAATATATATATATAATGTGTGTGTCCAGATCCTCCAGAATCGAGCCCAAGTCAAGTGGTGGGATGACTTCAACCAACTTAAAAGTTCGGATTGATATGCCAGTTCAGCTGATCAACCCGACCATTCCAGTCAATTTGACAAGCCAATTAGGCAAAATAAGCTTGACTCGACTATACAGTCCATCAGTTTAGTTAGTTGATTTGACGGACAAGTTCTACCAATCAATTCACTAAACCATCTTGGCAGATCAATCATGCCATCAAGCTACACACACGACTGTATTATTTTTATTTTAAACAATGTATTCAATATGTCTTGTCTAGCGACTTATTTAGCACATTCCAGGCTAACCCAAAGATCTATGTAAAAACTACTCCATACTTGATAAAATTTTCTGAAGTTTCTTTCCTCTTTCCGCTCTGTTTTCTTGATTATCTTCATTCTTTAAAACATTTTCCTAAGTGTGTGTGTGTGTCTAAGACAATTCAAGATCCAATAACACACACACACACAACATGGTTACAAAAATTGGTCATGTAACCAAGACATGTACCTTCCACCATACTGTACCTCACAAATTAATGCAGTCTAGTCTGAAAATTTAAATTCTACCATTATTTCCTTATTCTCTATACAGAAAGCAACCAATTCAGTGTGACTACTCATTAAACAATTAGTAGATAACTGAAAACTATTATCCAACTAACTATATTTCTCATTTAAAACAAAATATCTAACTAAAAATGTTAAATTAGCCAATTCCTATTATAAATTTAAATAAAAAAGTTAATTGTCCTATCTGATCCATGCTATTATCTAAGCTAGTTAAGATTCATAACTATAATGCTCTGAATTAATAATCAAATAACGTTCCTTAAAAAAAATTATCACAACAACCAGATCCAATCTAAAACATAAGTAGCTAAAACACTTTCATTAAACCTTCATCAAAAAGTATCTTAGACTAAATGTTCATTTGGGATTATTTTTATTTCTATGCTAAACTTGCTTTACTTTTGTTTTTTTTATATTCTAGCATGAAATAAAACCATATTAGGTATTCCATATGCTGATTATTTAAAAAAAGAAATAAATCAAAATAGTGGATTCCAGCAAAATCGTCTTAAGCTAGAGTAAAATCCCTCCCTCCCTTCCTCCCTCCCTCCCTCACACATTTCCCTTCTCTCATACTATGCTGCCATCCCCACTATAAATATTGACCTACCCTCACTGACACCTACATGTCCAATTTGTCTGCACATCTACAATTATCAAATCCCACTCCTGATTCAGTTGTCATTGTTGAGCACTTTAGCTACTTTCCGATCTCCATCAGTGTCAGACGATGCCTACAATGAGGGATAACTAGCTTCAAACGAAGGTGATCCGTGACTCAGTCCTCCTCAAGGAAGATAATGCAGCCACCATAATTAAGTGCGGCCAACTATAGGATTTATTAGAGGAAAACAAACAGGGTTGTTTGGTACATGACTTAAATCTGATTAGGCAGTATTTAAGTTAACCCCTTCCAAATGTTATGAAAGATTATTTTAAAACATAAAGAATCTTAAATCTCATTTTCCCTTCATTTTGCCTTAAATCTCAGATATAGTAAATCCTAACATTGGGAGAATTTTTAATTTAATTCGGCAAGTCTTTCAAACTTTTCTTATCACATTGATTTCTTTTTCAGCAAACTACAGTTGTGACAAGCTCGCTTCATTGTCATCAATGATTTCAAAAATTTGGGGGAGAAAGTTAAGCGCTTTGGATCTTGAAATTATTAAAACATTTGACATTAAATAAAAGAAATATATCAAAAAATCTTCAGTCTATTTTAACAATTGATATTAACTAAATTTAATTAAATTTATAAATTATTATTTAAGATTTTCAATTTAACCAATTATAATTTAACTGACATAATTAAATTTGTTAAAATTTTTATTTATTAAAATTATTGATATTCAATCAAACAAATTACAAATATATATATGTTAATTTTCAAAAATTCAGCAGAATTATTATATTGATATGAATAAGGGGGTATAAATACCCTTACATGAATCCTAAAATAGGAATAAAAAGATTAACACTTATATTTTCACTTAATCAATTCATAATAATTACTTGGAGATAAAGAAAATGACATAACATAGGAAAGCCTAAAATAGAAAATAAAATTAATTTAATTCAAGGAAATAAATTCAATCCCCATAACTTCTAACAATAATAAACTATTTCCTAATATAACTTTTAACACTTTCCCTCGAGTTAAAACATGGTTGACAACTATGTTCAATTTGGATTTGAAAATATCAAATAATGAGTCAGAACGATTCTTTGTGAGGTAAAACTTAAAGTATCCATCCTGTACTTGACAATCAACCCCAAGAGCATTTAAGGATATTATTAGTTGACTACGGTTGTCTTTGACTATAGTTTCTGCAGTCTCTATAGGTAAGCGGAAAACTTTTATAGGTAATGTTGCAGGAAAGTTTGTAGGGATATAGAGAACCTACAAGAAAAGTTGACTTTTAGTTGATTATAGTTGTCTTTGACTGCAGTTTCTTTAGGTAGACGGAATACTCCTATAAATAATGTTGCAAGCAACCTTGTAGGAAGATAGACAACCTACAGAGAAACTTGTAGTGTATGGTTGCAGGGAAAAGGAAGAACACCTGCAGAGAAAGTTGCACGGTATGTCCTGTAGGTAAAAAAGAACACCTATAAAGAAAGTTGTAGGGTATGATCCTGCAGGTAAAAAAGAAGCACATTCATAGAGAATGTTGCAGGGAAAGCCACAGAATATGTCTTGCAATTATGGCCTGAGTAAGGGCATGTGGTAGGAAAAAGTTACGGGGGAGGACCTACTCTAGGAAAAAACTCTGAAAAAAGGCCTACTGTGGGAAAAAGCTTTTAACCTGAGCACTGCAACAAAAAATTATGGAGGAAGGCCTGTTGCATAAGAAAAAACTCTAGAGAATGACCTGTTCGGGACAAAACTCTAGAGTAGAACCTGCTGTAACGAAAAGCTCTGGGGTAAGACCTGTTTTAGGGAAAAGCTCTGGAGGAAGACTTGTTATAGGTAAAAGCTCTGGAAGATGGTCTGCTGTAGGGAACCGGAGAAAGGCCTGCTGTAGTGAAAAGCTCTAGAGTAGGGCCTGCTGTGGGGAAAAGCTCCATAGGAGGGCCTGTTGCAGGGAAAAAACTCTAGAGGAGGGTTTGTTGTAGGACAAAACTCCGTAGGAGGGCCTTCTGCAAGGAAAAGCTCTGGAGGAAGGCCTGTTGTAGGGAAAAGCTTCGAAAGAAAGCCCTGCGCAGGGAAAATACTTTGGAGGAGAGCTTGATGTACTGTTCAACCTCATTTAGATTCAAGCTCCTCGACAGAATTCGGAGGAGGAGAAGGAGCGGCCCTAAAGTATTCGGCTCTCTATGGTGCTTTCCGAGCACTGGCTTCGACGCCATTATAGCTTCTACTAGAAAGTATTGTGGGATCTGGGGAAAGAGGTGACGAATCACAAGAGTGCCAATTTCGTGGTGGATCAAACAACAGTCACGATCGACTGTTGTCAACCCTCCTCGAAGAAACTCCTCTCCTTTCACCGATACCATGGAGGCTTTTCCTCAAGTCCATGGTGATGCAAATAAGTCACATGGACCAGCCACGTAAAACATACCCCATAGGAAGAGCATAAAGCTGACATTTTGAGAGGACGCAAGAACCAGGTTAGTCCAGCCAGCAAAGAAGCCATGGCGATCAAACAAGTAATAGAAGTTAAGACATCTTTCCTTTCATTCGGAACCAAAAGATTACTCTCAGGGTTGAATTGTGGTCCGTTCTTCCCTAGACGTCGTCCCCACAGATATATGGGAAATGTGAATCTAAACAAAAAGATCACTCTCACTTGATTGATGTCACTAGAGAAAGGAAAGGAGGATAGGGGGGCACTGCAGGACAAAAAATAAGAAATAAAAATCCGTAATAACCCATTTCTTTCCCAAATATAGGATATAGATCTAAAATTTCTCTCCGTGGTGCCACATTAAATAGTCATAAATCAAGTGTCACTAGAAACAGATCAAACAATAAAAAATAGCAGAAGAAATATACATATTTCAGCAAATTTAAAGAGAGAAATTAATTATACGGACGGGAACCAGTGGTCTCCCAGAGCTGCGTCTCGCCAACTTCATATGAAACCTCCTTCTGGACGTTGACGATAATGAGGTGATCACCGTCCTTCACCAAGTTCTCCGTCGCCCACCGCAGCGCCGCCTTGCTGCAAGGCGAGAAGTCCATGGCCACCCCTATCCTTCGATCTCCCGCCATCTCCTTCCCTCCCAGATCTACTATCTCAGATTCTCGATAACCAAAGACAGACCAGAGAAAGACGCAGTGACTTCGACTGAGATAATTGGAGCAACAAAAGACGGAAAATATATATATAAATAATGGAACTGTACTTTTGCATTGACTTTTTGAAAATCTCTCAAATGTTGGAATTTACAATAAAATCACATGTCATATATATATATATATATATATATATTACAAATTCTTAATAATTTGACAGTGACGCAAATAAATCTATAAATTTAATAATTTAAGAAAATAAAATGAATGCTAAGTGTACAAAGATCAATATTTTTTAGTATAATTATCCCAAATATTATTTATTTAACAATATATTTTTTTTCTTAAATTTATTATAGATTTAATTTTATATGCCTCATAATATTCGTGATTGGAGAATATACCAAATATTTTATTTTGAAACAAAACAGTCAGAAGAACTTATTTAAAATGCATTATGAAAGAGAGTGTTCAAATATAATTGGAACATGATTTGAATAATATTCGAACATATTTTGCTTAACACAATATATGAAAGTTTAATTACGTTAATACAATATAGTATAAGACAACATAATGCAATCATAAAAGCTATAACATACTAGATTATGAGCCTGATTTACGTCGTGTAATGCAAGAACTATAATAAAGTAGAGAGAAAAATTTAGTCAATACCCTCTTTTAATTATATACAAATACGCTTTCCTTTCCATGCTTTAACTTTATATTGACAAAACTATTCACTTATAATTTCAGATTTCATATAATAAATTATCCTCTAATATAAATATAAATATTGAAATGTTATATATAATTGATGTTTAATGTTTAGATATGTATGGTGACATAAGAATTCGGTCAATATGCACAAATCTTTTAAAAAGAATATTGAAATGCTTCTTATCTGTGCTAATAAACAAAACAAAATGCGAGTCATTAAACTAACTCAGAGCTCAAAGATACAATAAAATGTTGAAAGAAGCCATTCCCACTCTTATGAAATTTCCAAAAATTAGCAGTACATTATTTCCCTTATTTCTCGGATTTCATGGTAAATAGCCTCCAAAAATTGGTACAAACAGCTATATTATTATATATGACAGCACACAACCATATAAAATAACAAGAAAAATAAATAATTCCAAAATATTTGCATGATTACTACTACTATTACAAATGAAATAAATATTTCAGGGAAGCTGGAACAAGCGAGCCTGTTCCGGAAAACAGCTTATTAGCCGATTTAGAACAGTTGGTGATAAATCTTGGCCTCCCATCAGTTCTGGGCGGTGACTCTGGATCAGCTGAAGCAAAGAGGCATCTAAGTTCATTTCTTCAAACACACCTGCATCACAGAGTGTCCTCTTTTTTTTTATTAACAAGCTTCTTTAAATTTGAATAAAAATTGAATCAAAAACTGCAAGCGAACTTGTGCATTTGTCAATAACTCATATAAGGCCCCCATTAATCTTCATTTATTTATACAACTAAACAAAATTTAATACAACACAAATAACCCATCAAACTTACCCAACTCAAGCTCCTGCACATCATCTTCTATATCTCCTTCGTCAACCATCTCATTCTCCAAGTCAGCAGCTGCTTTCGCATACCGATCCAAAAATTCGTCTTCAGTTTCTTCAACAAGCTGCTCCTCCTCAGAATCCTGAAAAATTAATACCAAGTCCATCACATTGTAAACAAAGAAACACCACAGGTTAATAGGATGTGAGGCCAAAATAAAATTAGTAGTATGTACTATAACTCACGGCTTGATTTACCTCTTCGTCATCGTCATCGTCATCGTCATCGTCAGCATCATCCTCACTTTCCTCTGCATCAGAAACTTCAGCCTCTTCATTTCCCTCCTGAACTTCTTTCATCCGAGTAAATGCATCCAGCAATGCCATAAAGCTGACCCTCAAGACTTCACCCCTATCTAACAATGTTACAAGCAGCCTCTCAACCACCTTCGTTAATGTTGCCACTGAATGATATTGCAAGGAATTAATAGTGATTCTATAAATATTTAAAAAGAAGGAAAATTGACACAGCAACAAAAAAAACATTTATGTTCGATATCAGTGAAGAGTGAACCAACGATTAAGAGGAATTTAGTGATTGGGGCCAAATAATTTTACCACATAGTACTAACTCAGACTCAGTTGATAAACCAGGTGTAAAAGAACTTGTTGATATGTGGGCCAGTGCACTTGCCCAAATTATAAAACCCTTATCAGCTTCTTTCTCAAGGACTTGTTCAATATCCTTGGAATAAAAAAAATAGCATGATGATATAACCAATAAAAGGGGTTTCCACAGTCCAATAGGCTTCTCATGAATGTCCATGAAGCGAGAGAATGCTGCCCTTGCGAAGGTTATTGCCATTGCATGCTTTATAGATTCAGCATCATATGAGAAGCTTGGCACATGTAGCAATGAGTGTATGCACGAACAAGCCCGCCAAACAGCCGATGGATAAGCTTTAATCGCTCCACTGACGAAGCTACAAATACATTCAAAATTTGAAAGCTTTGAACCAGGAGGTGAATTTGCTGATGGTATTTTTCTAGAAAAGAGTATTTGAAGATCAAATTTTTTTTGCAAATTAACAGCTTCCAGGATAGAACTGAAAATTGTTTGATCCTCCATCTCTTCCCATAAATCCCAGTCAGCTATCAGGGCAGACCACGCCGTTAACAAATCAGGGATTTTCAAGCGAGTTACTTCATCCCTTTCGGTAATGAACCGCATGACAAAGCCAAGCAATGTACAGGCATCATCAATGCATGAACATGGTAGAAAAGTTTCAGGAACAGCAAGTTTATGATCATCCTGTGTAAAAGAGGAAGATGCGCATAAAAATTCTTTGTTATCTGGTTAGTAATATTATCAAGGATATAAGTGGTAAATCAGCAAACATCAGAAGCTCAAATAAATGCCCTCTTACAGAGAAAGAATTATAATAAGTGAAGTGAATACAAGGTAAGATGACACAAGCCAATGTAGTTGTTTTCGATATACTGGGTTATGACTCGTACTAAATTTAGTAAAAAAAAAATCATGATAACTAAATTCAAAAAACATACCACATCCTTAATAACAGGCATAAACCAAGCCTTTTGTAATAAATTTGAGAATAATTCAGCAATGGAGGCCCAACCAGATCTCCATTCCCGATTTTCTGGTTGTTGAATATTATCTGGAAGAGAGCTTTCCCAGATCAGTGCTAATTCAGCCAATACAGCAAAGCCACGTTCAAGCACCTAAATAAACATAGCAATTTTATTTATCATAAGAGAATTCCATCTGCTAAGTGAGAGCTGAAAATAATCAAAATTAAACCAATGGTAAAAGACAAATTAAAATTTTGACGCGTTAACATACAATATTATACCAACCAACCTGATGGAAGTGGTATGTTTCCATTTAAAGTACAATAGAACTCACGGACTATGCATATGGAACTTTCCAATTTATATGCAAGCTACATTGGCTTATTAGTTGAGAGCTTTATCTGTCGACCAAGAGGTCTTGGGTTCAAAGCCTTGCATGTGTGAGATGGGTGTGTTTGTGTGTGGAACAATAAGAAGCTTCATGATCTATAAAATATTTAAATTAATTAAAATTCCAAAAAATCAGTAGTATTGGTAAATAAGGACAACCCACAAAGGGCCTGTTTAGAACCTTTTTTGTTTTTACTTTATTCTTTGTTTTCCATTTTCTAAAAATATTTGTCTTGTGTTTATTCAAAGATATTTTTTTAATGTACTCTTTTTCTTTTTAATGAAAACCATCCTACCAAGCCAACCAACACAATTGCCACTAATCCCACATGCACAATCACCGCCACCGCCAGCCACCACTGTCATCACTGACATTGCTTGCATTCACCTCCAACCACACCGTCGCGTAAATAGACTTAACATAATATTTAATAAAAAAATAAAAACAACACATTTTGAATTTCAACACTTTTTATTTAAAGTCAAAACATAAACAAAATAAAATAAAAATTAAAAAATATTATTAGAACTAGTCGCTCTAAAATCATCCATCATGATGATCTTTACTTAAAGTCCAATAGCTGCCAGCATATAGAAAAGTATTCATTTTTATACTAACATTCAAATTTACCTAAAAAATCACTCTCTTAAAAATAGGATTTGCCATTATTTTTCTTTTCACATGGCATTCGGGTCTATGTAGCATTTCAAGTATAGCATGTAAACATCGACAAAAATCAGTAATTAAAACAATTTCATGTGTTTAACCCATGAAATTAGCTCTTGATTCTAAACTAACAAATTTTAATGATTAAATTATGAAAATGTTGAATTTAAGCAGCAAGTAAGCATCCTACCAAGTCAACCAACACCGTCGCCACTAATGCCACTTGCACAATCATCGCCACCGCCAGCCACCATTGTCATCACTGACATTGCTTGCATCACTCTCAATGCCACCACTATCAACCTTCTCATTACTGCTACAACCACCAACACGAGCCACCAATTATTACCCATCACCTCCCTATCACTAAAATCACTACCATACCACAATGTCGCGTAAATAGACTTAACATAATATTTAATAAAAAAAATGAAAACAACACATTTTGAATTTGAACACTTTTTATTTAGAGTCAAAACATAAAAAAAATAAAATAAAAATTAAAACAGAAAATTATTAGAACTAGTCGCTCTAAGATCATCCATGACAATGATCTTTACTTAAAGTCCAATAGCTGCTAGCATACAGAAAAGTATTCATTTTTATACTAAAATTCAAATTTACCTAAAAGATCACTCTCTTAAAAATAGGGTTTGCCATTATTTTTCTTTTCACATGGCATTCGGGTTTATGTACCATTTCAATTATAGCATGTACACATCGACAAAAATCAGTAATAGAACCAATTTCATGTGTTTAACCCATGAAATTAGCTCTTGATTCAAAACTAACAAAATTTTAATAGTTAAATTATGAAAAAATTTGAATTTCAGCAGCAAGTAAGCATCCTACTAAGCCAACCAACACCGTCGCCACTAATCCCACCTGCACAATCACCGCCACTACTGTCATCACTGACATTGCTTGTCATCACTCTCAATGTCACCACTATCATCATTGTCATTACTGCTACAACCACCAACACCAGCCACCAATTATTAGCCATCACCTCCCTATCACTAAAATCACTACCATACCACAATGTCGTGTAAATAGACTTAACATAATATTTAATTAAAAAATGAAAACAACACATTTTGAATTTGAACACTTTTTATTTAGAGTCAAAACATAAAAAAAATAAAATAAAAATTAAAACAGAAAATTATTAGAACTAGTCGCTCTAAGATCATCCATGATGATGATCTTTACTTAAAGTCCAATAGCTGCTAACATACAGAAAAGTATTCATTTTTATACTAACATTCAAATTTACCTAAAAAATCACTCTCTTAAAAATAGGATTTGCCATTATTTTTCTTTTCACATGGCATTCGGGTCTATGTAGCATTTCAAGTATAGCATGTAAACATCGACAAAAATCAGTAATTAAAACAATTTCATGTGTTTAACCCATGAAATTAGCTCTTGATTCTAAACTAACAAATTTTAATGATTAAATTATGAAAATTTTGAATTTAAGCAGCAAGTAAGCATCCTACCAAGTCAACCAACACCGTCGCCACTAATGCCACTTGCACAATCACCGCCACCGCCAGCCACCATTGTCATCACTGACATTGCTTGCATCACTCTCAATGCCACCACTATCAACATTCTCATTACTACTACAACCACCAACACGAGCCACAAATTATTAGCCATCACCTCCCTATCACTAAAATCACTACCATACCACAATGTCGCGTAAATAGACTTAACATAATATTTAATAAAAAAAATGAAAACAACACATTTTGAATTTGAACACTTTTTATTTAGAGTCAAAACATAAACAAAATAAAATCATAAAATTATTAGAACTAGTCACTAACTAGTCGCTCTAAGATCATCCATTTTACTTAAAGTCCAATAGCTGCCAGCATATAGAAAAGTATTCATTTTTATACTAACATTCAAATTTACCTAAAAAATCACTCTCTTAAAAATAGGATTTGCCATTATTTTTCTTTTCACATGGCATTCGGGTCTATGTAGCATTTCAAGTATAGCATGTAAACATCGACAAAAATCAGTAATTAAACCAATTTCATGTGTCTAACCCATGAAATTAGCTCTTGATTCTAAACTAACAAAATTTTAATGATTAAATTATGAAAATGTTGAATTTAAGCAGCAAGTAAGCATCCTACCAAGCCAACCAACACCGTCGCCACTAATGCCACTTGCACAATCATCGCCACCGCCAGCCACCATTGTCATCACTGACATTGCTTGCATCACTCTCAATGCCACCACTATCAACCTTCTCATTACTGCTACAACCACCAACACGAGCCACCAATTATTACCCATCACCTCCCTATCACTAAAATCACTACCATACCACAATGTCGCGTAAATAGACTTAACATAATATTTAATAAAAAAAATGAAAACAACACATTTTGAATTTGAACACTTTATTTAGAATCAAAACATAAACAGTATAAAATAAAAATTAAAACATAAAATTATTAGAACTAGTCACTCTAAGATCATCCATCATGATGATCTTTACTTAAAGTCCAATAGCTGCTAGCATACAGAAAAGTATTCATTTTTATACTAACATTCAAATTTACCTAAAAGACCACTCTCTTAAAAATAGGGGTTGCCATTGTTTTTCTTTTCGCATGGCGTTCGGGTCTATGTAGCATTTCAAGTATAGCATGTACACATCGACAAAAATCAGTAATTGAACCAATTTCATGTGTCTAACCCATGAAATTAGCTCTTGATTCTAAACTAACAAAATTTTAATTATTAAATTATGAAAATAACAAAATTTTAATGGTTAAATTATGAAAAATTTTGAATTTAAGCAGCAAGTAAGCATACCTGAGGCCAAGGTTCCGGAATAGGAGGCATGTTCCTCAGAATAACATTCGCTATATTGGAAACAACTACAGGGATGTGGACAGCAACCTTGTCCTGCCCAGCCTCAACCACGGTACTAAGAAGATTGAAAAGAAGACAACATTCAATTTCATCTCCTATACCCATCCTGCTAACCAGAATTTGCACACAATGTCGCGTAAATAGACTTAACATAATATTTAATAAAAAAAATGAAAACAACACATTTTGAATTTGAACACTTTTTATTTAGAGTCAAAACATAAACAAAATAAAATAAAAATTAAAACAGAAAATTATTAGAACTAGTCGCTCTAAGATCATCCATGATGATGATCTTTACTTAAAGTCCAATAGCTGCTAACATACAGAAAAGTATTCATTTTTATACTAAAATTCAAATTTACCTAAAAGATCACTCTCTTAAAAATAGGGTTTGCCATTATTTTTCTTTTCACATGGCATTCGGGTTTATGTACCATTTCAATTATAGCATGTACACATCGACAAAAATCAGTAATAGAACCAATTTCATGTGTTTAACCCATGAAATTAGCTCTTGATTCAAAACTAACAAAATTTTAATAGTTAAATTATGAAAAAATTTGAATTTCAGCAGCAAGTAAGCATCCTACTAAGCCAACCAACACCGTCGCCACTAATCCCACCTGCACAATCACCGCCACTACTGTCATCACTGACATTGCTTGTCATCACTCTCAATGTCACCACTATCATCATTGTCATTACTGCTACAACCACCAACACCAGCCACCAATTATTAGCCATCACCTCCCTATCACTAAAATCACTACCATACCACAATGTCGCGTAAATAGACTTAACATAATATTTAATAAAAAAAATGAAAACAACACATTTTGAATTTGAACACTTTTTATTTAGAGTCAAAACATAAACAAAATAAAATAAAAATTAAAACAGAAAATTATTAGAACTAGTCGCTCTAAGATCATCCATCATGATGATCTTTACTTAAAGTCCAATAGCTGCTAGCATACAGAAAAGTATTCATTTTTATACTAACATTCAAATTTACCTAAAAGACCACTCTCTTAAAAATAGGGGTTGCCATTGTTTTTCTTTTCGCATGGCGTTCGGGTCTATGTAGCATTTCAAGTATAGCATGTACACATCGACAAAAATCAGTAATTGAACCAATTTCATGTGTCTAACCCATGAAATTAGCTCTTGATTCTAAACTAACAAAATTTTAATTATTAAATTATGAAAAATTTTGAATTTAAGCAGCAAGTAAGCATACCTCCAAGCCAACCAACACCATCGCCACTAATCCCACTTGCACAATCACCGCTACCGCCAGCCACCACTGTCATCACTGACATTGCTTGCCATTACTCTCAATGCCACCACTATCACCATTGTCATTACTACTACAACCACCGATTATAAGACATCACCTCCCTATCACTAAAATCACTACCATACAACAATGTCGCATTAATAGACTTAACATAATATTTAATTAAAAAATAAAAAACACACATTTTGAATTTTAAAACTTTTTATTTAAAATCAAAACATAAACAAATTAAAATTAAAATTAAAACATAAAATTATTAGAACTAGTCGCTCTAAGATCATCCATCATGATGATCTTTACTTAAAGTCCAATAGCTGCTAGCATACAGAAAAGTATTCATTTTTATACTAACATTCAAATTTACCTAAAAGATCACTCTCTTAAAAATAGGGTTTGCCATTGTTTTTTTTTTCACATGGCGTTTGGGTCTATGTAGCATTTCAGGTATAGCATGTACACATCAAAAAAAATCAGTAATTGAACCAATTTCATATGTCTAACCCATGAAATTAGCTCTTGATTCTAAACTAACAAAATTTTAATGGTTAAATTATGAAAAATTTTGAATTTAAGCAGCAAGTAAGCATACCTGAGGCCAAGGTTCCGGAATAGGAGGCATGTTCCTCAGAATAACATTCGCTATATTGGAAACAACTACAGGGATGTGGACAGCAACCTTGTCCTGCCCAGCCTCAACCACGGTACTAAGAAGATTGAAAAGAAGACAACATTCAATTTCATCTCCTATACCCATCCTGCTAACCAGAATTTGCAAAAGGGGTGTCCAGTCAGGTGGAAAATATTCATTCTGCAAAAGTTGAACGAAGTAAACAATTGATGGTTACTTTACGCAATAGAAAAATGACCTACAAGTTTAACAAAATTCTTACATTAATAAGTTCTGTAATGGCTCCAGCAGCAGAAACACGAACTGGATAATAATTAAAATCTCCATCATCAGACCAGGTCAACGTCTTAGTCAACGAATTATAGATATTTGCACTCAAAGCCTACAAGGAGACTAAGAAAACTTGTTCATTACATTAATAAAACAAATTCACTCATAATTTCATCGGTAAAGCATTGCCCTTAAAATGTTAAAAAAAACTCTCATTCCTAATTTATAGAGCTAAGCACTTGATATGGTTGGTCAACCTTTAACTATGTGATCTTTCACTTAACGAAAGTAATTAGACCATTTCTGATAAAATTTATACGCAATTAAAGCTTGATAGGTGCTCTGAAGTTGCTTTGATACGGTAGGCTTTTGAGTTACATGACATTAATAGAACTGCATAATCAATCAGCTAGAAAGCTTTTGAGCTAGAAACAACACAGAATAAAGTAATTTATCATCTCTCTACCGACTGTTTCAATGGCTAGGCGCCTAGGCCATAAGTACTTAAAAATCAATAATGTTCGAGCCTTTTGACATAACTGATTCAAATAATGTTAAAGCGTAAAAGAGAAAATTACTTGTGCTTAGCATAGATTTGATCATTGTTACGAATGTAACAAAAAGTATGGTAATCGCAATGTTTAGAGGTTCATAAAATCTAGATGCATTCCATTGAAAAATCCCACCAAATTTGAAATCGCTGTCATAATCATAAAAACTAGGATTATTCCAACTATTTGTGTTAAGCTTTCAGAATCATTATTCTCCATTCATTCTCACTCTGTTGTAACAGGTTTAAATTTTATTTTTCAAAACAATTTAGCCAATCAGTCTTGGTCCACTAATTTTTATTCCTAACATTAAATTAATTATATCTACATTATTGGAATAACTACTACCCTGCATTTTCCAAGTTTGAACCACCAAAATCATTTTTACCTACATTATCTTCAACAGGTACTACTCAAGTTGTCTGTAATAAAGCCACTTCATAATTTATCTTTTCTAGTTTTATCATGCATACATGTTAAAATTCTCGTTTTTGCCTATCAACTTAACTTTTAATATCTTCTTTAATTCCCAACAGTCTGATCCACATAGCAATATCAGTCTAATTATTATTAAATAAACATATTACTTTTAATCATCTATCAAACTAGCTTGAAGCATCATACTCCCTAAATATTTCCACAACTCAACCTCCCTGCACTAACTTTAAAGTTACATCATCATTTTAATTTAATTTTTTTTATAATAAATCAAAGATATCAAACTTAGATAATTACTCAATCATCCAACAATATTCAAACTCTTCGTCATCATATTTTGGACTAGGTGAGATGTGTGCCGCGTGAGCCAAATTATAATTTAGAATCCAATTAGAAACTGACTCAGAACTAAGCTTGTCGTGCAATTCAACGGTATTTGATTGTCATTGAGCCTATGTCAAGCAAGAGATGTGATGGACCTCAAGTCAAGGCATTGAGATTAACTTTAGGATATAGCAAGTCGGGATTGATCAAGTGAAAATATTTGACCTTGATCCTAATGAGCCAAACTGTCCAAATTCCAAACAACCTAACCAAATATCCTTACAAAAAAATTATCCTATATCACTCACCTAACTCTAAACACTAACCCTAAATTTTCAAAAGCCAACATTTCTACCTACACCAAAAATCCACCCCGACACCTACCACTAATACCTTAAGTGTTAGCTAACCTTTGCTGCAACCCTGTATCCGTCAAAATACAGATCGTGAGAAAAGGACATTATGCCTCCAAGGATAAACCATCCCCGAGATAATCAAGAGATCGCTATGCAGAAATATAGCTAAAAATAATCCAATTGTAACAAAGACTTGCCGCCTTTTAGAAAACAAAATCTGGAGAAGACACTCATATCCACAAAGGTGACTCCCCCCAAATCAAGGGGAAGAAGTGAATCTATTCCACTGTAAAATTATAAGTGAATAAGAACCAATAATTTGATGATTTGACAGAATATTAGATGAGAAGCCAAGGTTTTAGAATGAATATTGACTTAATGGATTTTGACAATCAACTGGATCCAAACGAGTTCATTGAGTGGCTACAAACATCGGAACGAGTCTTGGAGTACAAAGACATTTCATCTTTAAGAAAATAAAAATAGCCACCATTAAGTTAAAAAAATCTCTATGATGAAAAAATTTGAAGCACATACGCCAACATGAGGAAAAAATCAAAATTACTTTCTTGTCTAGAATGAAAATGAAAATACAGTGCAAATATCTTCTCACACATTAACAACAAGAAACATTCATAAAATTCCATAACTTGCACCAAAGAGATTTTTTGAGTAAACAGCTAAATTTAATCAACGCATGTTGAAATATTAGTTGATGGAATGAGAGAAAGCACATAGTTGTGAGGTATATGGGAGGAATGAAGTCAACTATTAGTAATGTGGTGCAACTACAGTCGTATTGATCTCTACTCGATATCCAGAACCTAACTTTGAAGGTAGAGTATCAGCAATGTCATAAAATGACCGCCACACCTTACATATAGATTGCAAACTCAATATCAAGCAGTAAGATCACACCCAATGGAGCTCCTAAGCCGACCCTGCCAGACAAGAAACCCATACATAGTGGAGAAAAGGTGTAGGCCGCCAACACTCACAAATTTGTCTAGATCAGAAAGTGTTTCAAGTGTCAGAATTTTCTTAAACAAAATGATCTCTTTCATTGTTAATAAGAGATCCTCGTAGAATTTTTTATTGGAGATGAATTCTAGGAGCTAGTGTAGTATGATGTGGTAGATGTAGATCCTTGTCACATCCTATTAGGCCATCCTAGTTAGTATGAACGTTGCTTATATCATGATGGCTAGAAAAAATACATTCTTTCACCAAAGATGAGAAGCACAATTACCCTTGCCTTGAAAGAAGTCTGAGAAGTTTGAGAATGTAGTGTCACTATCTTTTTACAAATCTCGAGAGAAGCATTAGCAAGATTAATATTTGCTGTTGGAGAAGGCAATGAGTTCAAGGAAACTAGTGCCAGATACAGGACAACCCCCGCAAAGAACGGCCTAACATGTAAGATAGAAATTATAAGTTCTTGAGCTATTTTCATAAGATTGAGTGGTAAAATTCAATGTTGTTCAGCAGCGCACCCATAGATAGGTTACCAAAAAAAAGTGTTGAAACACAACTTTGGAAAGCTTCTTATATATTTTGTTAGAAAAAACATCCAATTGTGAGATATAAATCATCCCAGAGAAGAAAAAGTCTTTACTAGCTGGAAAGAATAACAGAGAAGGGACAACCAAATCACAGGATTGGGGATCCTGCAGTCCCGACTGCAAAATTTCTGCGATACTACAGCAAGGGAAGCTCTTGCCATTATAGTAAGTCCCAATAAGCAATTCCCATCCGATTGGCAATATATGTTGCAATGTTTGCCATCTTTTACTTAATTTCCTGTTTCAATTTTTCTATTTCGGTTTATTTTTATTAGAAACATATTTTATATATTGTTTTTCTCTATTTGGAGGACTTTTGTTTTGTTTTTGAGTATTTTGAAAATTTTAATCTCTGATTTCCACTTTAGGACTATGTATAATCTTCCGTTTACAAATGGTGTGTTTGTATCTTGCTCCGGGGTTGGTGTAGAACATCCTCATCATCCGAACATTGTCATTTATGATTTCTCTTTATTGTTTTCAGTCCAAACAGCCATCAGAACCACTGATGTCTGCTGTTTACAGCAGGAAGAATGTAGTGTTCCACCATCTGCTTGTTGTCTCGCCACTGTTCATGCCAGAATTTATACAACTTTGATCCTCCTACTCCCGTTACCCATCATACAACGTTCTTAACCCTTTTATGTGTCCTCAAAAACCTTCTAAGAGCCCTAGAGTAGTGCACTAATGCTAACTAGGGCTGTCAAAAAAACTCGTTGTTCACGTACTGTTCGTGTTCCGCTCATCGGGGGGTTCGTGTTTGATTCGTTCGATAAGCAAATGAGACGAACATGAACAATTTTTTTTCGTTCGGTTTATATATGAATCAAACACGAACAGTCATTTGTTTGATCGTGTTCGAAACGGTATTATTCAAAATATAAAATAATTTAAAATAATTATATATATATAATTTATTATTTTTTAAAAATAATTATATACTCTAATAATTTATCATATTTTAAGAAATTAAATCCTATAAATTATAATATGATCTTTAAGTTCGCCTCTTAGCTTATATTAAATTCTATAATTTATTTTTTAAAAATAATTATATACTCTAATAATTTATCATATTTTAAGAAATTAAATCCTATAAATTATAATATGATCTTTAAGTTCGCCTCTTAGCTTATATTAAATTCTATAATTTCGTATTTATCTTCAGGTTCGTCTCTTAGCTTATATTTTCTTATATTTCTTTTAGATTTATTTAGTTTCTTTGAAATAAAACATAATTTTTTGGAGTGAAATCTCACATATTGCCTCTAGATATGAATTTTTTATGGATGAGATATGATATTATGTTTTTATTGTAAGTTGTATTTTGACTATTTTGCATTTATGCTATGATTCATACAAGTTTAAGCAATAATTTGTTATAAGTTTAAGTTTTTGATAGATTTCGATCAATTCGAATAATACAAACAAATGTGTAAGATTTCAAACAATTCAAACAATTCAAATAATTCAACAATTCGAAGAATTCAAACATTTCAAACATTTCAAATATATTTCAAAGAAATCAAACTGAACACGAACAGTAACTTCACGAACAATTTCAAATACGAGTCTATTTCAAATACATGTAATTTCAAACGAACTGAACACGAACATGAGCTATGTTTGTTAGTGTTCGGTTCGTTTACACCCCTAATGCTAACCAATTCAGCTTGGCCCGAAGTTAACTTGCTCTACAGAATCCAACTCAGGTTACCTATAGTTCATAGGGGTCGTCCATAATGCAATTAGCTTGGTTTGGTGTTTGCTATGCAAAGGGGTGATCAAGGCAGCCAAAGGGAACTTGGGCCTAATTGGCTAGATAGCATCAATCTGGCAATTCAAGTAAGCAAGACCATGTTAATCAAAGGGTTAGTAAAC